AAGTCTAAGTGCTATTGCTGCAGGTAGTCCTTATGTTACAATGGCAATTGGGACAGGAATTTGTTACAAATTGATGTGATCATGAAGTGCTATATCACATAATTGCATCACTTAGCAATGACAATCTCAGTTGCCTGGCAGTCTCAGTTGCTGCCATTACCTCAGGACTATATGGGTCATTAAGTGAGGGCATCATATGATTGTGACTTGGGAATAGGCTGGAGTTCAGGAAAGCAGACTAACATACAAAAGTTACCGAGATGGAGAGGGGAAGCTGAAGGTAGGCATAAGAAAATGCAGTAGGGATGGGAATAACGTGTGACTTCCTGTTGGCTTCTCCATTGACTTTGCTTGTAGGAAGCTGGCAGGGAAAGTTGCAAATGGTGATCACATGACCATAAGACACTGCAACAATCTTAATTGTGAACTGGTTGTCAAGCATTTGAATCACGATCATGTGACTGGTGGGAAAGTGAATGGATGCTGTCACAGCCGTTAACTATCTGTAAACAAAGTATTTCTTCAATGCTTTCTTTCAATTGTGATTAAACCCCAGGGTGTGCAGGTCCAAACTGTACCTAGAAAACTGGCATACGGAGCAGGAAAGAAACAGTGTGATCAAAGAAGCAACTATTTCTAAATTACAATGTAATTAGCTCACAAGTAATATGTTTTAAAATTGATATTAATCGGTTTAAAAGTTATTGCTTATCCTGCTTATTGCAAGCTTGGTCACTAAACATACTTGGCAAAGAACGAAGTGTTCTATAAAGTACACAATTCTCTATTAAATCTGAGTTAACAGAGAAGAACCAATCTTGCAATTACAGCATCCACTGTTCTAGGACACAATGCATCAATACATATTTGCTCTTGGTCTGCATTAAATGGAGTAAATCAATAGATACTATTTTTCGTTCAAAACTGGTTAAAGTAACTTTCAGAATACTGATTAAATTGCTGAATGATAATACATATAATGCCTGGCACGGTATTTTAATTGAACAGATCAAACTTTAATTGCCATCAGTAACCACTGCAAGTATTATATTGGAAAGCCAAATTTCATTAAAGGAAATTTCTGTTCTGAAAAAACCCACTAAATAAATGTGTTATCAAAAAGACATCACTCCTATTTTAGAACTAGAAATCAAGCTGGAATATAGGTGCTGACTACGGAAATAAAAAATAAAAAACAAATATAAGAAAAAGAAGGGTGGCAAAGAATGATAAATGATTGGCTAAAATAATGGGATGGCTATTAATCTGTTTATTATTAATTGTGTTACATTTATTTTCTTTCAATACAACACAAATTATGTGAACTATTTTTTCATGCAGGTTAAAAAGATTTTATTTGCATCATCTTAATTGCATAGCAGAATCTACTAATAAACATCACTTGTGGCTCCATTTCATTACAATCTTTAAGCCATTCAATCTTTAATGTGTGTACCAATCTAAGATAATTGAAAGTAGTTCTCAACTTATGACCATAATTGAGCATGACAATTATGGTCATAAAGCATGTCACGTGATCGGACCCATTTTTGCAGTGGTTGTGAATTAAAGGCAGCAGTTGTAAAGTAAATACCACAGTTCTTAAACAAACCCATTGTTCACTAGGATTTTTGCTGAAAACTAGAAGTGAATGTTGGCTCCCTACAAAGCCATCATAAATAGCAATCACATGATTATTGGGTGTACTTTTGCCAAGCCCCCAAAATTGGTCAGGTGACTATTGGGAGGATGACACTGGAACTTTGAAACTAGTCCTAAGTATCTTCTGAGGGGAACTGCTGTAATTTCAAATGGTCACTAAGTGACAAGTCGTAAATCAAGGGTTACCTGCATATTGGTTTTATTTACCTTTCAGCCAGAATATTACTGAGGTCTATAACAAGATTGGGAATTTTCATCACTTTTGAGAAAGGAATATACTTTATTTTTAAAACTATATTAAGCCTTCTTCAGGAATATACTAGAATTTTCATGTATCTCATCTGAGGTGGTTCTTTTAGTTTATTATGAATTGATATTTTAATAGTATAATATATTTTCAAATAAATATCCTTTCTGAAACTTGTCTGAATATATTTAGAACTGTCCCCAAAACCAACACATTCTATAGTTAATAGTACATTACTATTACTGTTGAAATATTAAATTCATAAACCTTTTATGTAAAACGCTAACGGCCTTTATGAATAACTCTCAAAGTCTGCTCAATTTAGAAAACAAATAAGAATAATTTTCAACTTAAATTATTAGTCAGTTTACTGTGTATTTCAGAGTGATATATAATAAAAGCAATCATATTTCCCAACTGATTAACCTAAGAAACAAATAAAAGGGACTGTAGGTTTTCAGGCTCCTACTGTGAATGCATACCAATTTATCAACTAAAAATTCCACAACATATTCCAGATGTCTTTTCAAATTAACAGATAATTATGTATCTTAAGCCAAAGAATTCTTGAACATATATCTAGTCCAATAAAATTGAAGGTCGAGTCCTAATGTATTTGAGATTATATGTGAAATCTTTTGCAGACATAGTATTTTTCCAGAGTTTCCTATATAAAGAGCTAGTTTTTTTAAAGTAGTATTTTAGTTTTATCCTTAACTACTTCATGTTGTTTATGGAAGTTTTTATGTACAGTGCCATGCAATACAACCATAGAACAGTAGCATAAAGTGGTACACAATCCAGACACACTTTTCAATTTACTAAGACAATGCACTAATGAGTCAAATTTTGTGAACCCTGCTAAAATTTTACAATGTGATGTAAGTTTCTTATAAATTGTCTTTACAGATAAAGGGATTCTGGTTAAATAACATACAGAATAATTTATCTGTTAGCCAAATAATTAGATAAATTTTAAATTAAACAGTTTAGCAACAAGCCTTTTAATCTTCCATAGTAAAATAATTATTTCCTCTGATATTTAGAGTAAAACAAAGACATTCTGAAGTTGGGTTACTGACCAAAATTTATCAAACCATTTTTCAAACAAGAAATCATCCAGATATTTCCACCCTTGAACATTGTTGCTAAAAGTACAGTGGCACCTTGGTACTCAACTGCTTTAAAACTCATTGAATTTGGTACTCAACACATTTCGATGCAAAAAAAATATGTTCCGATATTTACCATTTGTTTGGTACTTGACATACAAGATAGATCTGGTTGGTGTTGACTGCTTTGTGACTCACTACATTATTCCTTATGGGGAAATTTGTTTAATATTTGTTTGTTTTTGATACTCACTGCACCTCCCAAAACCAATTGATGATGAATACCAAGGTACCACTGTACATGCTACCAGAACTACATAGCAAGAGAGCAAACACATTTTAAAGAAAACTGCACACATATTTTTAAAAATAATTTTAAGAAAATATTCAGGACAGAGAGATACCTCTGAAGGGTTTGTTCACATTATTGTAACAAAGAATCACTGCTAATTTCAATATTCTACATAACAATTATAAAATATCACTTTTAATTATTAGCATATATTTATTGTTAATATTTATCTTCTAGGCATTCAAAATATTTTTCCGTCCAATACATTCCTACATACTTTTTCAAATACAAGATTAAAATTTCATTTGGAGACGCTTAATTCACATAAAACACAAACACAGATTTTATAAGTTTCATTAATGTTGCTTATTTTTTAATATTTGTTTAGTTACTTGCAGTAGTTCTGACAATAAATTCCTAAAATTTTATCTAAAGTCTATAGATAAAAAAATTAAAATAGTACATATGCTTCTTCAAAAGCTGAAATAGCTAGGTATCAATAAAAGTCCTAAAACAAATAAACCAAAGAATATGTCTCATTAAGTCATGTATTCACTATATAATCAAGATACAGAACAGCAATATACAATTTATTACAATAATCATACATCAACAAAAACTATTATGGGTACTGAAATAACTTGACCATAGGTCTTATATTTTCAAATTCCACATTAAAAGGTTGATAGGAAGAAACAGTACATGTTTAGGCTAATACAGCCAGTAAACAGTAGTTATATGCCAACTACTGATTTAGTTTTAATATATAAAAAACGAATAACAACTTATTACCAAGTGAAACAATTTGACTGACAGAACATTAACATGTCAAGACAACTGGTTTAAAAAAAAAGTCCGAATGCAAACAATATTTTTCCTTTTAAGCTAGAAGGGTAGTATGGCAAGGATATTCACTGGAATAAACATATTCTTGCTGGAAATCTTTCCCCTCTCTAGTAACATCCTATTAACAATACATGGATTAATAAAAACAGTTCTAAAAATAATCATTCTCTAATGTCTGACACAAATTGTATGATCAACTGAATTTCATTCCCCCCACCTACCCATAAAAATGATTATGTGAAGGCTGGAAGATTAAAATGGGCTTTTCTTATGGATGATAATTAAAAAGGCCAGCAACTCAAACTTTAGACTTCAGTTGGACACATATTTATATAATACTATCAAACAAAAATTTACATAAAACTTCTGTTTTACTCTTTTCTTACCTTTATGTAAGAAAACTGGCATTTTATACTAACTAGTGATCAAAATCTAATCTTAGTCTAATATCACATCAGTACACATTTTCACACAGGCAGCTATGAAATGTAGCAATAGCCTGACTCAACAGCTGAACTTTGAGTTTATTCTCAACTCTGAAAACTGATTGCCACATAAAGCTTTTTTTAAAAAAATAATAATATCTGAAATGCAGGGGGAAAGCATCACGTTTATTGTTTTAAATCAAATTTAGGTCAGATAAACACAGTTCTTGAAAGATGTATACTATGAATAAGTAAAGCAACTTTCACAAGCAAACAATTAAGTACAGCAACTTTTAAAATTGAAATAAAGTTATTTGAATAGTAAAAGACAGGAAACTCTTGGTTCTTAATGTGGGATATCTTTTGGATTTATTCAAGGACATAGATAGACTATCAGTCAAATTAAAATCACTTACATAGTCTCTCCAGTCTTGGCAACATGACAAAGAAATTGATCCAATACTGGGCAGACCTCCTTCTTCCCTCTTTTTTCAAAATCTGTAGAAATGGGAGGAGAAATAGAAGAGGGGGGAAAATGTAAAACATACCTTGTGAATTCTGTATCCTCAGCTTCCTTGCCCCAGGATTTTTTCTAAATAGCAACTCCCCGCCCCAACCCACCCATCATTCAAACTTCAGAAGACACTTAACATGAATTTGGAAGCTAATTTTTCAGGTTTCCCTTCATCGTCTGCAATAGATACCTGCCTCAAAGTTGTCCATACACTCTTGATGATTTTTTTTTTTGGGGGGGGGGGAAGCAAAAGAGGCAAGGTAGGGAAAGGAATAAGTATCAGGAAGTAGTATAAAATGGATCGGGGGCTAGAAAGAAACCCGGAGTATCAGATTCAGAAACAGTATCAGTAAGGTGCAAGTAATCTCGAAGAAGGAACTTTTAAGGGCCCTTTTAAGGGGAAAGCGAGAGAGAATCGGGAGAGAAGGAAGTGGGGGTGGGTGACGATGTCCCCGTCCTGCCCTCCTCAGCACACATTTTGGGAAGCCCAAAGTAGGCTCCCCCAAAGCAGAACAGCCCAGACTGTGGCGGGAATAAAAGTGGGATCCCCCCAACCGCCGCTTTCCCCCCTTCTCCAAGGGAATTGCCTTTCCTTCCCAAGCCACGTTAAGGGCCAGGCCTCCTCTTCCGCCTCCCAAGGTCGGGGGCTCGTCTCTCTCTCCCCTCTTCCCCGCGACCTCGAGGTAAGCCTCCCCCACGTCTATCCCAATTTAACCCCAGCCGCAAACCTTTCAATGCCTCCTGGAGCCTCTCGATATCCATGATCCGCCGCCGCCGCTCCTCTTCCTCCTCCTGCCTCCCGGGGCTCTGGCAGGAAACAGGCAGCCGCGCAAGCGGAGGGAGTTCAGGTGCGGCTGCTCCAACGGGGGGAGAGAGAGAGGAGGGAGGGAGGAGAGAGAAGGGGGGGAGAAAGAGAGAGGGGGGAAGGAGAAAGAGAGACAGAAAGAGAAAGAGAGAGAGAAAGAGAGAGAAGGAAAGTAACAAGCAATTCCCCGGCGGCCGGGCTCAGCAGCCTTCCAACATGGCGCCTAAGCCGTCGCCGTGCGCGCTCCCGACCCTCCTCGCAAGCACACACCGATTTCTGCCTTTCCTCTTCCCGCCGGCTCGGGAGCGCGCTCGGGGAGGCGGGTGGAGACCAGGAGAGGGCGGGGCCGTCGGGGAAGACGTCACCGCAGCTTCGGCGGGACACCGCTTCAGCGCCGAAAACTCGGTAGTGCTCTTTTACCTCGGAGATGGATTCACCTCCCACCTCCCCTCTCCCCTTTTCTTCCTTCTCTTGCAAAGATGATTGGGGTGGGAGGACCCGGGCATTCGCATGTTAATACTTTCAGACGAGCGTTTAAGGTGGTGTTTCTCAACGTTAGCAACTTTGAAGATGGGCTGATTTTTTTAACTCCCAGAATTCCCTAGTCATGCTCCCTAGGGGATGCTGAGAATTGAAGTCCGCCTATCATTTGCTGAAGTTAAAGTATTTATCTGGCTGAGGTGTACCTGTTTATTTTCACTCCACCTTTTTCTTCCTTCTCCTTTAGACAGAAATTACTTTCTCTTGTAGCCACTATAGAAAATTAGCACCCACTCCTAGAGAATGAAATATTTTGGGGCACATTAAAAGGCAGGGTAGAATATTTCCCCTAAAGGAGAAATGGGGAAAAATCTTGAGGCAGAAACCAGCCCCAGTTCCCCTCCCCCAAGCAGAAACGCAGGAGGCCAGCTTTTACAAATGCAAATTTGGTAATCCATTCAGAAAGACTAGGTCAGATGGAAACGCCAGATAAGCAACACAATTAGGCAAGCCAAAGGTTGTCAAGATTAGCTCAGACAAACACATAGGACAGGGGTCCCCAAACTTGGCAACCTTTAAGACTTGTGGACTTCAACTCCCAGAATTTTGGGAATTGAAGTCCACAAGTCTTAAAGTTGCCAAGTTTGAAGACATCTGACCTAGGATTTGCATTTCCCCTTTTGCCTATAGCCAGCCATGACTCCATTCTCAACTCCGTTTCGTCAGTTGTCCCAGAACTGCATGCTGCGTGTGTGATGGTTCTGTTTCAAAGGTGGGTTTTTACTGGTTCGGCCCAGATAGAGTGAACTGGTAGTGGTGGCGGCAGAGGGCTTCACCCACCCGCCCGGATGCTTCTGTGCATGTGCAAAAGCGTTGTGCGCGACTGAGCGAACCGGTCATAAAAAAATTGGAAACCCACCACTGTTCTGTTCATCAATAAATTTACTTTCTTAAGCAGCTTCCATTTTATTCCCAGTTTGGAACTCGACCCGGATTTTTCATCCAGTATCACATGGTATAGAAGGGTTTTACTAGAAGAGATTTGCTGCCTTTGAAAGATTATTTATTTATTTATTTATTTATTTATTTATTTATTTATTCAATTTCTATTTGCAGTGTGGAAAGTTATCATCCAGCCCTCTCCCAGAAAAATGAAATATTCTAGGAAATATTGAAAAGGCAGAATATTATATTTCTCTGGATGTGAAAAGGAAGAAAAATGTTTTATAAAGAGAGAATAGCTCCGTGTAGCTTCCTGCCTCCACCCACTTTGTCAATGGGCCATTAAGAAGGCCAAGCCAGTCCCTTTACATAATAAAGAGTTCTCCCCTTCAGATCCAGGGAGATGGGATTAAGGCATGATAATATTGGCACTTTACCCAACTCACCACATGGCAAACCTGGATTCAAAACACAGCCTAGAGAGTTGCCCTTGCATGGCCCCATGGGAGTCTGACAACTAATCAGAATACAAGATCAAAGGCCAGAGAGGGCGTAAAACCAGGGACTCAGCATCTCAGTCTTTCTCTTCTCCCCAACATTGAAGCATGTGATCACCTTTTCTGTTCAGGGCTCAAGCCATGTGGTCCTGTTC